TATGTTGCAGCAGCTGTTGCAGCTGCTGATGTTGCGGATACCGTTGGCGTTGGCGCCGCAGCCGCTGCTCCTGTTGTTGAGAATGTATCTGAATATTCTAGATACAAAGACACTGCAAAAGCAGGAGAAGAAGGCAGCAGCAGCCTCTCTCCGTCTTCAGCGCCAAGACACGCAGCAAAGAGTGCAGCGAGCGACCGCCTCTCAATCGCAGGACTTGGGGCCCCCAGGGGCCTCAGGAAACCCGACAGCCACTAATAACAAAGTCCTGAAGGGTTATTTATCGATTAAAGAGGAGAGAAAGCGGCAACTGCAGAGGGTGTTGCAGAGCAACCCCACCACAGGATCAGCGCAGCTTGGGAGGGGCCCCTAGAAGGCGCCTCTTCTGGAAGCCTGCTGCCCCGCTTAATTAGGGGGCAATGCAGCTCCTAAATAAGTCATAAAAAACAAAAGAGGAGAGAGAGGGGTATACATGGGGCCCCCTAGACACCACAACCAGCCCTAAAGGGTTTCGCTGCAGGGCTGGCAGGGCCTCCCACCGGGCCCATCGGCTGTCTATGCGGCTGAGACGATACAGCACTAACTAAACTGCATGCAGATAAATATAGTAATAACAATATATAATAATAAAAACAGCAGATGGTGTTTGTATAGTCTGCTTTCTAGAGCAGCTGAGCTCCAGCTGGTGCCGTGTATACGGCGGGGTTGACGGGTTGGTAGGAAAGCTGCACAGAAGAAGGCGGCGCGAGGACAGTGGAAATAATATATCTTTACTTTTGTTTTTTTTATATTTGAATTCTAATGTTTTTTTCAATGGGTTTGTTGTATTTTGTTTATATTAAGTGCTTACTGTGGCTATCCATACAAGTGTACTAGCGTCATCCTCACCAGCCATAGTGCGGAGCGACATCAGCGTATGTCCGTACCAGACAGCGAAAATATAAACTTTCAAGCAAATTAAACAAATAATACAAAAATAAAGATAATAAAAACACAAATTTAGTCCTTAAATTCTTTATTATACAGCCAGAGGCCCCTCAGCAGATAGCAACAAATACCCAGCATCCCCGGGCCTCGTCGCCCNCTTTATTATACAGCCAGAGGCCCCTCAGCAGATAGCAACAAATACCCAGCATCCCCGGGCCTCGTCGCCCGCCCTCTTCTTACCCCCTGCTGCGTGCAGCAGAGCCCGTAGCAGCCGAGGGGTTTCAGTAGGAGAGGCGTGCGTCTTTTTGTTTAATTTATTTATATTATTGTTTGTATATTTTTGTTGAAATATCACAAAGTCCTTGACGGTGCCCCGAGGCACTGACTTGCTTCGTTTGAGGCCAGAGGTTACAGTGGGGCCTCCGCTGTGCTCGCGTCTTCGTTGAGCTGAGGCGGGCTTGGTCGTTGGCTTATACATTAAAACATTTAATTATTTTATTTTTATTTATATTTCGTTGTACTATTAAAATATTTGTGTTCTGAATCTACTGCTCAGTGCCCTCGTCTACATTGCAAGTAACAGCCCCAAAATGCCTCACCACGTGCTGGCTATGGGGACGGTGTTGGCGGCGCTGGGCGCCAAAGCTGCGGGATCGGGAGTCGACCCCACATCGTTCCTAGGAACGGGAGCTGCTCCCCTGAGCAAGGGGATGGGCTCGGCGTTGCTGTCTCTGAAGGCGAGCAAGGCAGCAGCTCTTACGGGTGCCCCCACTGCATCTTCCTTCCTCGCCCATGCAGGTGGTGCTGCATCAGGGGCAGTAGGTAGTGGTGGGGTTGCAGCTGCAGCACCAAAGGCAGCAGCGGCAGCAGCAGGAGGAACCCCTGGGAAAGCAGCTCTCAGTATGTTGGCGGCCAAGGGAGCGCCGGCAGCAGGGCACATGTCTTCAGCAGCAGCTGCTGCGGGTGTAAAGGGGGCAGCAAAGGGTGGAGCTGCAGCAGCGAATTCTTCTATGTTGAAGGTGTCTCAGAAGGCAATGTTCGGAAAGAGGAAAGCGGGGATGCTAGGCCGCAGCAAGCCGAAGCCCCGCGGCTCAGGCTCTGCAGCAAGAGCGAGAGGAGGAGGGGGCAGCGCGGGCAGCAAGAGTGCTCAGCCCCGCCCCGCAGCACGCAGTTCAGGTTCTTCTGGAGCTCGAGGTACACCCCAATCAGCTCAGCCACGGCATGCAACTTCACACGGCCCCTCAGGCAGCAGCGGCAGGGGCCCCCGCACCGGTGGCAGCGGTGGGAGCTCAAGCTACCAGGGGCCCCTGACGGGTCAGGGGGGCTCCGGCGGGAACACAGGNGTGGCAGCGGTGGGAGCTCAAGCTACCAGGGGCCCCTGACGGGTCAGGGGGGCTCCGGCGGGAACACAGGATTGAGCTCTGGGGGCCCCCCGGCAGAGGGCGCAGGGGGAGAGGAGGTGATGCCGGGGCCCCTCCCATCCTCCAGCCATTCGAAATTCTTACAGCTGCACAAGGGGGCCCCCAGGGCCCCCACCGCGAGCTTCACTGGTACCTCTTCTGCTTCATCTACTGCCCCCACAGTCACCAGCACCACCACAACTGCAGCATCAGCAGCAGCAGCAGGAGCAGGATTTGATCCTGCAGCAGATGCATCAGCAGGAGCAGCAGCAGCAGCAGCAGCAGCAGCAGCAGAACGAGCACCCGATATCTCTGGTGTTGCTTCAGAAATGATGAGGGCCCAACCCGTTGATCCTTATGCTTTCGGCGTGGGAGGCGATCCCGGGTTCGATCCCGGGTTCGATCCCAACACCCTCGACACTGCAGCAGCTGCGGGGCCCTCTAAAGGGTCCTCTTTATTTAAGGGGTTTGTACAGGGGGCCCTAGGCATGGAGGATACAGGGGAGGAGGGGGGCATGCTGCAGAGTTTGTCTAGCAACCTGGGATCGAACCTGTTCGGTAACCTGTGGGGTGATGGGGGGCTGGCGGGGGGAGCGGCGGCGGCGTTGGGGGCAGCAGCAGCCGATCCCACAGCGGGAGCGATCGATCCCACCGATGTAGCAGAGGTCGATCCCGAGCTCATAGAGGAACAGACAATGGCCGTAGCCGCCATGCTGCCGAGCCTCTTCGGCCGACTGACTACAGCAACAGATAAAATAAGGGGCCCCACAAGCTCAGGGGCCCCCGTAGCAAGAAGCAATTCTGTAGCTTCTACTGCATGCAACAGCGATGGGGCTGCAGTAACCGAGGGGGAGACGGATCTCCTCTCCTGTCGTCGGGTGTATCGATCCCGTGTCGGTGACAGAAAAAACAACTACGCTAAATTCCTCTGCTGAGGGGCCCCTAGGGGCCCCACTGGTATTTACCCTTTCGTCTATGCATGCAGAGAGGGGCCCCTGGGGGCCCCGCCAGTACCCTTTGCTGCTTGCATACAAAGAGGGGGCCCTGCTGTGCAGACCCCTTTCTCCGTTTCCTTGACTAGCCGATGCCTCGTGCTGCGGCTCACTGCGG